TTTAACAATAGAATGAGTATTGATCAATACCTACTTAATTTTATTAAAGTATTTTTCGAAGGGCAGCATCTTAAACCATCTATTCTTATTTTTTTCTTCTAAAAAGAATTCACATTTATCTTCTACCTACATGGAAGCTTTAACATTCATTTATATTGAAAATGACACCTGAATAGGTAAGAGATCCAGATTCTATTTTCCATTGTTTCTTGTGATATTCCACAGACCTTTCAGCCTCAGCACTGAATCATTATCTTTCTACATAAAACTTCCTGCTTTGTATTCCCCGCTATGGTGAACAGAATCACCATCCATCCTGTTGCACCTGCTAGGAGCCCAACAACCAGTTTAGACCTCATCTTGCTTGCTCATTGCATGCAATCAATAAATGCTTTTGAACCTCCCTCCTAAATATATCTCAAATTTGACCCTTCCTTATAACCACTGCATTTCAGAATCTGATTATGCCTTTCCCAGATAACCTAACTGATCTCATCAACTTCAGGTGCACTGCCCCTAGTCTATATTACTTTAGACTTCCATTGAAATGAAAACCATGTGTGTGCGTGTGTGTGTGTGTGTGTGTTCCTTGATCTATAATTTTTCAAATGACTAGGATTTACTTTGTTTTTCTTCAATATTTTTATTTAAGTATAGTTGGTATGCAATATTATTTAGTTACATTAGTTTCAGGTGTACAATATAGTGATTTGACATTTTATACCTTACTATGTGATGACCCCATTAATTTTAGTAATCATCTGTCACAGTGCAAACTTACCACAATACTATTGACTATATCCCCCTTCACCTTTTTTTCTATCCTCACCAGAGGACATTTTTCCATTTTTTTGTTCAGATAGAGTGGGAGGGAGAGAGAGAAACATTGACGTGAAAGGAACACAGCGAGTGGCCGCCTCCCGCATGACCCCAACCAGGGCCGGGGACAAACCACAACTGAGGTACATGCCCTTAGCGGAACCAAACCGGGGTCTCTCTGGACCATGGGCCAACACTCTACTCTTTTGCACATGTTTTCATTTACAATATCCTCTCTGTCTTTTCCTTCTCCCCAACTCTGACATCCTTGAAGACTCAAACAGAATTTCTTCCATGAAGCCTTAATTAATACCTTCTTTCATGTTCCTTATCCCATTAACTTATATTTTTATAGACTTTATTACATTATTACTTTTTATTTAATCTCTGTCTTTTGCATATGCATACTGTGAAGAAGAATATCTTAATAATATTGAAAGAAGTTTCTAACATCAAATTGGCTCTGTTCAAATCCCTACTAGCCCATATGCAAATTATTTAATTTATCCACACATCAATGTTCCTGTCTCTAGTAATAATACTCATATGTCTGGATTATTTAGAGCATTATATGAAATAATCCAAGGGACTTCTTACACAGTGGTGACCACATAGAAAACATTCAATATATGTTAGTTAGTAGAAGTAGTACAAGTGCCACACAGCCACATCCACAAATGTTTGTGGAATGACTGAAATATGAATGAATATACAATGAATGAATGAATGAATGAATGAATGAGACTTTAAAAACATCTGGTCACATTCTTGATCTTTCTGCTTTCTTATGTGTTAGAAGTTTCCCTTGTTCGGTCAGGGATAGTTACTATCTTTTACAGACATCTTTCTTAAACTGCAAGACCTTTATACCTGGAAGTACACAAGCTTATTTTAGATGTTAAATATATAAGCATTTTTTTTTTTAATCCTCACCAGAGGACATTTTTGCATTCATCTTTTAGATGGAGCAAGAGGGAGAGAAGGGGAAGAGAGAGAGAGAGAGACAGAAACATCGATGCGAAAGAGACACATTGACTGGCTGCCACCCACACGACCAACCTGGGCAGGAGACAAACTGCAACCGAGGTACGTGCCCTTAGCGGCAACTGAACCCGGGTCTCTCTGGACCGCAGGCCGACGCTCTAACCGCTGAGCCAAACCGGCCAGGGCTATATAAACATTTCTTAAATTTCAATAGCTACATACAGTATTTATTTTCAAGCATTTTGGAAAAAAATTAACTAGCACACAGAAGCTATGATTTCATAAATATTTTTGCTTAGGGCAAATCTAAAGAGGTCATTTAAGTTAAAATAAAGTGTATTTAAAGAAAAGTATTATTTATATAATATAAGCAGTACATGGATATGACAGAATTATAGGTTTGGGCAACTAACTTATTGCCTTTTTGTTTATATTGTTATTCATATTACAGTTAGGTTCCTCTTTACAAATTCATATCTTTGTTATCAATATTATTAGCTCGTTGCACCAAAGTGTTTTTGTTTGTTTTTGGTCTTGTGTTTTACACTGCTTTCTGCTTTGGGCAGATTTCTGCATCTGTGTTTTTCTTCTTCTCTTGAACGTTTTCTCTGCACTCGGCTTCTCCTCATTCTGTCCTGCGTTGTGTCCGCTCCATACTCTGCTGCTGTTGCCCCGTGGCGCCTCCATGTGTCATTTTCCTGCCACATGTCAGCTTGTTAGTGTGACTCCGAGGCTTTACCTGCTGGACCTGCACTGAGCGTCTCAGGCTTCACACCCTCCTGGGGGGTCAAGGACATTATCAAGAGTTTTTGTCAGAAACTCTGCACATTTCCAGGACCTTCTACTTTACTCTGTCTTCTAAAATACAGTAATTTAAATAACTATTATGCACATAATTTTATTTTTGAAATGCATAATAACCCTATAGGAAACCTAATTATAAGTCATTATAACAAAACAGAGTAAATAATCTTTATGAAAATGGTCTCCTTTAAAAGCTTTATAGGAAACAATTAAATTCTACTAAGGAAGAAAGTTTAGTTTTATATGAAAGTTTTTTTCCTCATACAAATAACAAATTATGGCAATTTTACATAGAAAAAAATGTTCAAGTAGACATTGTTTAGTAGTGCTTAATTTCCAGGTCAATTTGTAAATATTTTCTATTTTATCTGGGTTATGTCAAATTATTTGAAGAATGAAAGAGAGTAAAAAATGAGAGCAATAGGTTTTTCTAAATTCTGTAAGGTAAAACAGAAAGAAACAAAGAAAAACACAGGAGACAGAGTTTAAATGGAAAGATTTAAAGAAAATAAAAATGTAACATGGGAAGTCACTGAGAATGGTCTCCAATGTGTTGAAAAGCTGATATACACTTGATCTTTATGTCTTTCTGAGTAATTTTCATAATTCAAATATTCTTTACTCCATCGTTTCCTTTGTGTACTTCCTGAAGGTACACAGGCCAATGTAGCTGGGCAGCAGAGGGGAGGGGGGAAGTTCGGACTCCAGGCCAGACAGTAAGCAACTGCTAAATATCATGCAGGGCCTTTTGATCAACATAGAAAGAAGGCATTGAAGGTCACAGTCAGGTGTGTGGTTTGGAAGCATCACTTTGGATGGATGCATGGAACAGTCCGACATATCTCAGGGTAAGGGAGGACAGGAAGAGATAAACCAATGAACGTATATACTTACATGCATAGCCCATGGACACAGATAATAGTGTGGTGAAGGCAAGCAAGGTGGGGGTGGGGGCTGGGTGGAGGGGGCATTAGGGGGGTAAAATTGAGGACATCTGTAATACCATCAATAATAAAAAATATATTTTTAAAAAATCACTTTGGCTCTAGTGTGGAGGATAGCTAATGTGAATGAAGAGACCAGTTAGGATGGTCAGTTAGGAGGGTTTACTCATAGGTTAGATTATGGTGATTTTAACTGTTATGGCAGCTATATCCTGGCAGGTGTGGCTCAATGGATTGACCATCGTCCCATGGACTGAGAGGTTCTGGTTCCGTTTCTAGTCAGAGCACATGCCTGGGCTGTGGGCTTGATCCCCAGTAGGGGGTGTGCAGGAGGCAGCCAATCGATGGTTCTCTCTCACATCGATGATTCTCTCTCTCTCCCTTCCTTTCTCTCAGGAAAAAATAATAATAATAATATTATGGCAGCTATATATAGAGAAACAAGAGTGAGCTTTAGAATGGATTGGATAAGGGAATAAATGGAAGGATAGGGAAATATGAAAGATGATTACCTCTAGCTCTGCTGCTTATGCAGCTCCATGGATGGGAGTTTCACTTGCCAACATAGGAAATAATGGGAGAGGACCGGTTTGGGGGATTCGTTTTGTAAAACTGACTTCAAAGTACTTTGTGAAAAGTACTCTCAGACCTTGTGAACTGTAGCAAGTTGCTCTTCTCAGAAGTTGGTTTATTCCTCTCCAAAATGAGGTGTTTACACTAAAATACCTAATCAAGTAGTTACTGGAATTGCAGTTCTATGAGTGTAGTTTCAACTGTGTGTTGAAACGAAGAAGATTGAATACTTGGTAAGTTTTCAAATAACCTGGATGTTAAACGGAAAGGGATGATAATAACGTCTAGGAAAGGGAATGATATGATGAAAACTGTAATCTGAAGAACATTATTCTGATAGCTGAACTGAAGCAAGGGAGAAATTAGTGGATGGGGAGTCAGGAAAGATCAACCAATCAATGAAAGTCTAAAGAGTAGCAGGAACTCTGGAAAAGGAAAATTAAAGTTTTAGATAGTGTGTAGCATGAATTAGCAGTGTTTGAAAACATAAATCAGAAAATGAAAGAGAGAGTCTGGAGAAAATGAAAGAGAGAGAAACTAGCAACTTACTTTTTTTTCAAGCTTTGAAGTTGAAGAAGATGGAGACACAAGAACATATGAAAGGGATATTACTGGGGAAATTGAGATGATTAGTTTTTCTGACATGCTGAATGTGTAGCTATGGCATAGTTTAAAAAGTAATTAACTTTTTTTTTTTTAGGAAAGTAATCATTCAATAATAGAAGGACTGAATACACTTTTACTTTAAAAAATATTATGTAGTAGCTTTAATAAGTATGTACAGAGATTCATTTTGAAAATTATAGTTAGTACTAAGCATAATTTGTGCACCTTGTTCTGAAAGTTCTATTTTTGCTCTCTGATTTCATTTTCCAGCTCCTTGTGGTGGCCATTTCTCAGCTCCCAGTGGACTGATTCTCTCACCGGGATGGCCAGGTTACTATAAAGACTCTTTGAATTGTGAGTGGGTGATTGAAGCTGAACCTGGACACTCTATCAAAATTACATTCGAAAGGTCTCTGGAAATGTTTCTTTACCTTAAAAAATATTATCTGAAGGAATAGTTGACTTTCTCCATTTGATTTACCAAATCATTGTGTAATTTTACTGCAATAGTCCATCGCTGTGCCTTGAATGCTTCAGACGATCTGCTCCTTTTTAACCTTTCAGCCTGTTTTCAAGTTATTTTCTTATTTGTTTTATACTGTGTCAGTATTATTGAGATATGTAAGCTGGACCTTTTAGTTTTAAATATATATGCATACTGCTGAGTTAAGAACATGTGACCTTGAAATTAATGACTTTAGTTGTCCTGTGTTTTGAAGGGCCTGTGAATTCTGCTGTGCTAGGTTTCAAGAGGCAAAGGTGCTCGGACACATTGAAATCAATGCCTAGTTGCGGCCTGAGATAGTTACACTACCCGTGTGCCTACATTTAAAAGTCCTTCAGAAAAATGATTGTGTCCAATGAATGTGTGTTAATGATTGGTTAGTTGAGTTTTTTCTCCTAGGAAAATTAGTATTACTGATTTTAAATTAGTATTACAAATTATCTATATGGTGAAATATTATAATATCAATAATTAAAAACAATGAAGCTTCTGATCTGTGATTGGATCTCAATCAAGAAACCCCAATAGAAGTATCTATATAATTTCCCAATTATATTTTCAACCCCATCTTCAACCCCTTTATTTAAAAAAGAGAAAGTAAGCATTGCATTCACATGGTAAGCATATTAATATATAAATACAGTAGAATTATGCTCTGATGATTGAATTTGACAAATATTACACACACACACACACACACACACACACACACACACAAACCCATAAGAATCTTGGGTTGATGCTAGTTGAAGGGGATATTATTTAAATATCTAACTTTCTTTCTTCTTTCCCAAGACCCTTTAAGGATATAATATTTTGCTTCAGGGCTGTCTGCGTTCCACGTGATTTGTCAAAAAATGGTTCCTTAAAATAATTCACATCTTAAACAGCTGCAGCATTATTAGTAGTAGCTTAGTAGCAAAGCAAGTTAAAAAATAAATAAGAGTTATAATGGTTATCCATTAGGTTAGTGGCATCAAATAGTGACTTTGAAATCAAATAGATGAAACCATCTTTTACTTTCTTGTTTTGTGACCTTTTAACATCTTGGTGCTTCATCCTCCCCCTAAGATTGTTTTAAGAAAAAAATGATCTCTGAAGTACATAACAAAAATTATGTTCTTGAAAAACCTATTTCCTCCTGAATTCCAGCCAAGCTCTTGTAAGGATACTGTCAACTCTTTAATAGTCTCTCGCATTCTGAGAATTTTTTTTTTTTATAGAAATTGGTTCCAAATAATAAATTGTATTTATTACAGTTATGCCACTTGCTTTCTAGTACTCATGAATAAACTAAATTAATTTGGTTTAAAAATTAAATCTTAAATATCGAATAATATAATTAAGATGGTGGCATAGCTATTCTTTATTTTTTCCAATATGGTCTAGTATAGCAATTGGTTAGAGTTAATCTACAGAAAAAAAAAAAAATTACAAATATAGTAGTCATTAGTTAGCTTCTGGAGATTGTCTCAAGTAGCTTAAGTCAATGAAATCTTCAGAAATATAATTTTGCATTAAATAAAAAACAGAATAACAATGATGTCAATGAACATATGTGGTGTTTTTAGTGTTTATCTCTTTCTAACATAGCCAAACACAGTGAACAACTCTTACCTTGAGATTTGCAGAGAAATGTTTGCTTTGTGTCTCCCCACAGGTTTTAAATTTTCTCAATATATGGTAGCTCCTTACTAAACTCATCCTAAGAATGCTTCTTTTCTGTTCCTTTTTATTCCTTTACCTGTCCTCAACTACCTGACCACAAGCCATCCATGTCAGTCTACCAAAGAGCAATTTTTTTTAATCAATGAGGACTATCACAATTTAATCAGAACACGTTTGAATTAACACCAAGAATGTTTTTAAGAGTAAAATTAGATCGAACTTCTTTTTTAACACCATCTAATGGTTTTAAAGTTATTTATGATAAATAATAAATTTGTCAATGTCATAAACAAATGAACATTAGATGGAGGCAATTCATGAGAAATTGATAGACAATTTCTATCAATTGTTCTAAATGAAATTCAACTTGTTGTAAAACTCTATTCCATTTTCTTTTAGTGTAATGTATGTTTATAGTTTCTTAGGGCAAATTTGTGATGATTTTCTATATAAAGATTATCTTCTACAGAACAATGTTCTCTATATCACCAGTGAATTGCCCTATTCTATTAAGAATTAAGTCCCTTCATGTTTCAGTTCAAAGTAATCCCTGACTCTTCTGTGCATTTTAATTTAGTTATTATCAGCTGACTAGCTATCAAAGTGAAACTCCAATTTCAATACTACAATAGATGGACTACAAAACAACCAAGTATGGATTCACAAAGCACAGTTGCTGGATTGTACATTCTTATACAAATGCTTGTGTTCCTATACATTTCCTGTTCTAGAGTATATTATTGGAAGTTACTTCAGACAAATACAATTTTTCCAGGTTACAAAATGAAAAGTAAGATAGACTTATAAAATCCATTCATTTTACTAAGTGCGTTGCTTAACTGAATGTAACAGGGGTACATATTGAAAGGTATTTTGATTGTACTTCTTCAATAGCATTAAATTGCACACTTAAATTTGACTACTTACATGCCATGTTCATAATCATATAAGGGATTTTATAATGAAATAAAGTTTCTAATTTTTATATTTTCCATTCAGTTTGTTTTGACCAGGTTCTGAGTTTTATTTATCTACTTTTTGCTTTTGGCAGAATAATGTAGTTTACATTTATAGTGCTGAAAAGACTGGTAGGAATGACATTAAAAGTGATGATCTGAAAATAATTGGAGGTTTTAACTCAAAATTATTTTCTAAAGTAGACTAAAGAAAACTAGGTATTGAAAATGTAGCAGGAGATACATTTTAAAAGGATGAAAATGGGTGCTTAAAACTGCTGTGTCCAAGTTATTGCGTGCTTTTTCATCAAGTTGGCAACAACCCTAGAGAAAAGAAAGATAAGTTTGTCATTAAAATACATTGATTTACTCATTTATATTTATCCAATAACTATTCATTGCATCACTGCTACATGCAAAGCATTGACAAAACCAGCAGCGTCTGACCTCATGAAATGTACAGACTCTTAAAGGAGACAGTTATTAAACAAGCAAACATAACTGTGATTAATGTCACAAAAGGCACGGTACATTGTAGCAATATAGTAAGCGAAATAACCTACACTGCCAGGTCACCGAAAGACTTCCTGAGGGTATAGTTAAGCTGAATGAGTACTGTAAGATCTGTAGGAAAACCTTGGTGATAGTAGGAAAAGAATTTCCTGGGCTGCAGGATCACTGTGGGCAAGTAAGTAGATCCTCAGTTTTCCATGATTCCAGATGACGTTTTTCCACAGCTAAGATTTCTGATCTAGATTTCGAATATGGTGTGATCTTGAAGTGCAAGGAAGGAATGCAAAATGCTACTTTATTATTAGGTTACGCATAATAAAAGAAGCTCTGTATTGATTATAAAATACTTGTATCTTTTTCAAAATTTGAAAATGATAAGAGCAACAACAATCAAAATTCTAAAAATAGAACCAACCAGCATAGCTTAATGGTTAGGAACAGAGATACTTGGGTTTAAGGCCTGGCTCTGTCTTCTAAGAAAATACAGGCCTGCCCTGTCTGGTTTGGCTCAGCAGTTGGAGCATCGGCCTGCGGACCAAAGAGTCTTGGGTTTGATTCTAGTCAAGGATACATACCTCAGTTGTGGTTCGGTCCTGGGCCCTGGTTGGGGTCGTGCAGGAGGCGATCAATCAATGTCTCTCTTTCTCTCTCTCTCGCTCTCCTTCTCTCTCTCTCCCTCCCACTCTATCTAAAAATCACTGAAACATATCCTCGTGTGAGGATTTAAAAAAAAAAAGAAAGAAAGAAAGAAAATTCAGGCCAGAGTTTACTTACCTGCAAAGTGAGTATAATAATAGTAACTAATTTAAAGGGTTTGGGGGAGGATTAGAAGAACTAATATAGATGAAGTATTCAGCAGAGCTTCAGGCTCTTATTGAACATCAACTACATCATTGTTATTACCTACTTATAGTTACAACCATTGTTTTGAAATCAAAACTATACAAAAAAATTAATGTCCAAAATATTTGTCAAGTGAAACCACTATTTAAAGCAAAGGTCAGATTTGAAATATATATGCAATTAAGACGAAAATCTGAATCATATTGTTTTTCATAGAAATGAGGAAGACAAAAGAAAGGTGATTCCCAAAAAATGCCTGATTAGTGAAAAGGCCATTTATTTACTGAGAACAATCCATAAATTTGAAAGAATTCTTACTTGTAAGCAACAAATATATACATATATCTTTTTTTTAAATCTTCACCTGAGGATATTTTTCCATTTATCATCAGATAGAGTGGGAGGGAGGGAGAGAGAGAGAAACATCAACGTAAGAGAGACACATCTATTGGCTGCCTCCCACACGACCTGACCAGGGCCAGGGGCGAACCACAATCAAGGTACATGCCCTTGACCAGAATCGAACCTGTGACTTATTGGTCTAACTGCTGAGCCAAACCGGCCAGGGCTATACACATATCTTTTTAATGATAATTTTCCCTAGGAAAAAGAGCTTATAACTTTGGTATTTGTAAATGATGGGGGTCTTAAGTAATATATATGAGATAAGTTAAATAAATTATTAAAATGGTAAACAATGTAAATAGCAATCTAAGGTATTATTTTCTTATACAGTGTTATGCTAATACATATACTCCACGTGTCTCTTAATCTTAGATTTCAGACTGAACTAAATTATGATGTTCTGGAAGTTCATGATGGACCCAATCTTCTGTCACCCTTGCTTGGATCTTACAATGGCACACAAGTGCCCCAGTTTCTATTTAGTAGCAGTAATTTTATATACCTTCTGTTTACAACAGACAACAGCCGTTCTAATAATGGTTTCAAGATTCATTATGAAAGTAAGTATTGCCGAAGTGTTTTTTGATTTTCCTATTCTGTTTTCCCTGCATTTGGTTTTACCATTGTATTACTTAGAGAACTAGATTTATTTTTTAAAAATCCGAGTTCTTCTTAACCTATGAGAATGCTAATAGTGTATGAGTTGTATATTTTAATAAATGCTACAATAAATTTTTCAATAATATCTAATATAGTTATGAAAAGAAATACTAAGGACATGTCAGAACTATCAATGAGCAATTTTTTAAAAATGATCTCATGTACTAGTTTTTATAGTCTGAAAAGCTAACAATAGGCAGTAAATGTCAGTCTAAGATGTGTAAGAACATTGGAAATTTATTTTAGCATTGATTTCATAAATTCAATTATTCTTTTTTTAATCCTCCCCCGAGGACCTTTTTCCATTTATCTTCAGAGAGAGCAGGAGGGAGGGTGGGAGGAGAGAGAGAAACATTGATGTGAGATAGTCATATAGAGTGGTTGCCTCCCACACAACCCCACCTGGGGCTGGGGATGAACCGCAACCAAGGCAGGTGCCCTTGGCAGGAGCCAAAACCTGAATGGACTCTTTGGTTTGCCGACCAACACTCTAACCACTGAGCCAAACCAGCCAGGGCTCAATTTTTCTTTTATATTTTACTCACACTAATTGCACACATTTTTTTTTTTCATTTAAAATATTCAATTTTATTATTTGTTTAAAATACTGAAAATTACATTAACATTGAAAAGTGATATATATGCATATATTTAAATATGACTACTATAACTGGTCAAGGCTATATATTAAAATTGGATTAAGCTGTAATTTACAGCGTTCAAATCAGCACATAATAATCCCATTTAAAAGGTTATACTTTTGTTCAAAAAGCCTGAAATAAGTCTTCTATTTTAAAACATTTTTATACTAGTATATACATAGAAACAAGTCTTTGTTTTATTTTTAAACATCCGACATATTTATACATATGTGGCTGTATTGCATATGATAGATGGGTGTGTACATGCATATAAACTTATATGTGTACACATTTTTATCTGGGAATACATTGCTACACATCTGCACAAAAACCAGTTTTGGTGAAAGGATCTAACAGCACATTTAAGAGGGTAACTGCAAAATATTTTATATGAAGGGCAGATAGATATTATATCACTTCTTATATTCACGTCTCCTATGCTACTTTTCCTCTCAAGAAAAGATTTCTGCATTTGATATTTATAACTTTATATTTCATGTTGGGTGTCTCCAGTAGATCTGGGCAATGGGCTAATGAGTCTTTTAAAACCACTATATATATATATATATGTATATATATATATATATATTGCTTTTTTCTTTTTAATCTTTTTATCCACCGTATGGTTTAATTAGATTAACTTTATTTTATTTAGAGCTTCATGCCATGGAAGTGTATTTCCTAAACATTCTAAAATGCACCAAAAGAATTAACACATACTTGGAAATTCAATGGACTATAAGGGGCCTCAACTGAGATCTTTAGTTGAACATGTATTTGTTAAAACCAAATTAGGTCCTGGCCAGTTTGGCTCAGCGGTGTAGGTTCAGCCTGCGGTCCGGAGAGACCTGGGTTCGGTTCCTGCTAAGGGCGCGTACCTCAGTTGCAGTTTGTCCCCAGCCCTATTTGGGTCGTGTTGGTGGCAGCCACTCTATGTGTCCCTTTCATGTCGATGTTCCTCTCTTTCTCTCTCCCACTCTATCTGAACAAAATATGGAAAAATGTCTTCTTGTGAGGATTAAAACAAACAACAACAACAAAAAACAAATTAAAGTAGCATCTGAGTTAATTAATTTCAAAGCTAATTCTTACTGGCAATTAATTTTATCAATATGCTACAAATAGGCAGACACCTTTTCTTTTAGTTTATTGTTATATCCTATGCTTAATGAATCACATTTAATCCCACTTCAACCGAGGTCTGTGGTCTATATCATGTGTCGGACACAGGACTATTTTAAAGGTTTCATAAAACCACACATGCAATGTTGTTATAACAGCTAACTTGCAACAAGTGGCCAATAAATACTAGCTATTATGTTTATCCTATAAAAACTAATCAGATGAAAAACAAAAAGGGGAAGTCAAGTTTTAATTTATTTCTTTCCTATAAAAGAAGACATTTTTCACGATGCTTGTTAAAGACAGTAAAGCAGACTTTTACTACAATAAGGTTTTGTATCAGGGAAGAGAGATTGAGCTCAACTCTGACTACAAGTGGGAATTAATAGCCAAGGAGCAGAATGGTAATCAGGGAGTGGAAAATTACTTCCAAGGGGCATCAGAGGTAGGGGCTTTCTGAGTTAACCCAGTAGATAGGATTTTTGTTGAAGATAGGCCATGGTTATAAGATATTGAGGGTGAGAGAGGAGGGATTTGATTGGCTATCAAGGGAGGAAGATTTTCAATAATCTGGCCCAACAGGATTTTTGCTAACACTGGACTAAATGGGCCATGGAAAAGTCCAGGGGTGATGGCTTGTGAAAAGGAGGGTTCAGAGGAGCCCACCAAAGTTTGATCAAGTCAGGGCCCGTTACACTCAGCGAGCTTGTCACCTGTAGGCCCTGGGTGACATAGTTCAACTTACTACTGAGGGCAGTGCCTAGAAAGGCAGGGTGGGGGACGACAGTGAAGAGAAGTTGATGAGAGACACTGGATATTGGTTTTGGTCAAATTTGCCAGGAGACAATAACTTTCTATTTACATTAGTTTATTAGAAATAACTTTTTTTCTCCTCTTTATTGTATTTAGTCTTGTGGTTTACTTACTATTGTGAAATAATATCTAACTTTTAGGAACACTTTCTTAGAAGGCAAACGAACACAAACCTTTTTCTGTTATCACATTATTAATAAGTGTTCCACATGGAAGGTAACCAAACTACCTTTTTTTTAATAATTTTTCTTTATTGAGTTTTAGAGAGAGAAGAGGTGAGAGGGAGAGAAAAAGAGAAACATTAATGAGAGAGAACACTGATTGGCCACCTCCTGCATGTCTCCTGCATGGGAATTGGGCTCACAACCTGGGCATTTGCCCTGACCTGAGAGTTGAACTGGCAACCTCTTGGTGCATGGGTCGACGCCCAACCAATGAGCCACACCGGCTGGGCCCAAACTATCTTTTTTAAATGAACCATTCACAAACCTCAAAATCAAGCGAGTAAAACATTAATTATTACACTAATTAAAACTTTAAAAATATATTTGTATTTGGTGAAGTTCTACTTAAAAATTTTTTTTTAAATCCTCACCCTAAGATACTTTTTCATTTATCTTCAGATAGAGTGGGAGGGAGTGAGGGAGAGAGATAAAGAGAGAGAGAGAGAGAGAGAGAGAGAGAGAGATGTGCAAGTGACACATTGAATGGTTGCCTCCTGTAGGACTTTGACCAGAGCTGGGGACCGAACCGCAACTGAGAAACGTGCCTTTGATTGGAATGGAACTCATGACCCTTCAGTTCGTGGGCCAACGCTCCAACTATTAAGCCAAACTGGCCAGGGCTACTTTTTAAATTAAATTTACTTAAAAGAGAAAACTGGACAACAGGCCAAAATTCGATGGGAAAGATTTATTGCAATGCTGTAGTGCTTGCATTCCAGACTTCCATTTTATCCCCTTTCTAGGGGCACTTTTACCCCACTCAAAACAGAGATCGCAAAAACTATACCAACAGGATAAACTCATTTATAGTTCTCAAAACACATTTAACAATAATAACAAAATAGAACAGACTTTAGGAACACAACCCATTTTTTGTTTGTTTGTTTCTATACAGTCTCTCCCTTGCCCCCAAGGAGAAATCACTTTTGTTTATTATGTTGCATTTCTTGAAATATAAATACAATTAAGCTTTTTGGTGATCTAAATATTATATAAAACAATACATTAATAAATGGGTACGAAACAAATTCACAGATACAGAGATTCATCTCGGAAGACATATTTTTCATATGCATGAATAGATATTGTTCTCTTTTTCCAACTGTGGAAAATAGTAGACATCTAAAAGAATGTGCAATTTAAATAGCAGTTGTTATATTTAAAGTCAGTTGGAGCACAGCCAGCGTGGCTCAGTGGATTGAGCATCTTCTCATGGATTGAGATGTCCCAGGTCAATTCCCAGTCAGGACACCTGCCCAGGTTTTGGGATAGATCCCTGCTTGAGGGGGTGAGCAGAAGGCCTCTGATAGATGTTTCCATCTCACATCAAAGTTTCTATCTCTCCCTAAAACATATTTAAGAAAGAAAGAAATAAAAGTAAAGTCAATTAGAGGAAGTAGATAAACCAAACTTAAAATGGTTAAATATTTTTATTACATATGTTAAAGTAAGAAAGGTCCAAACCTGTAAAGAATTCTTTTTATCTTAACCGGGGGCATTTTTCCATTTATCTTTAGACAGATTAGGAGGGAGGGAGGGAGAGAGAAACATGATGCTGGAGAGATACATCGACTGGTTGCCTCCCTCATGACCCCGACCAGGGCCGGGGACAAACTGCAACTGAGGTATGTGCCCCTTGGCTGGAATTGAACCCGGGTTTCATTGGTTCATGGGCTGACGCTCTAACTGCTGAGCCAAACCAGCCAGGGCAAGAATTTGTATAGATTTATTTGAGTCAAAACTGATGATAGTTGCCAGGAAATAAGATCTGAAATGCTTCAGAGAATGACAGTTTGCAACTTCTTCTATGCATTTAGATAAGGAGGAAACATAAGGAAGATTACATGAAGGTGGGAGAAGCAGGTGGGGATTGGATTACAGGATAGCTAACAAGATTGCATGCTCTCTTGAAGTTGGTAATGCTTATTTCAAAGGTGTGTTAACAGCCTGGCTGGTGTGGCTCAGTGGTTTCCTATAGACCCATGCACCAGGAGGTCATCCGTTCGATTCCTGGTCAGGGCTCATGCCCAGGTTGTGGGCCCAATTCTCAGTAGCGGGCATGCAGGAGGCAGCCAATCTATGTTCTGTCTCATCAATGTCTCTATATCTCTCTTTTATGAATTTTATATCTAAAATTCATTAAAGAAAAAGTAAATTTTAAAATAAGATGTGCTAACCTATTATGAAAACAATGGACAGTGATTCTTTAAGGCAAAAATAAACATTTCACTAAAAGAGTCACATGCCTGCTGCCTGCCCTGACCAGTGTTGCTCAGTGGTTGGAACATAGGTCCTTCTGAAGGCTGGCTGATTTGATTCCTGGTCAAGAGCATGTATCTGGGTTGTAGGTTCAATCCTCAGCCATGGTTGTGGCACATGTTGGGGACAATCAATCCATGTGTCTCTCTCACATCAATGTTTCTCTCTCTCTCTCTTCCCCTCCCTCCCTCCCTCTCTTCTACTCTCTCTAAAAAGTCAATGGATAAATATCCTTACTCATTGAATGAGGATTAACAACAACAAAATAAATAAATAAATATAAAACATGTAATTAAAATTTTTAAAGAAGAATCATATGCCTGGAGTGTGAGTATTCACCACGACCTGCCCAGATAGAAACTTATGAACAGATCTGCCTGTGAGGTTACTTTCTATAACACCCCTTTTTCATCCACAAATACAATAACCAAATAAGCAGAAAATCTATATTGAAATTTTACTTTTGTGAAAATAAGTTCTATAATATAAAATAAATGAGAAAACATTAATGTAATTTTATTAATATAACATGAATGTCTGAAAATTTTGTACATTCCAAAATTTAAGAATCCTCTAAATCTGCTTAACAATAATATTGTAACTTGAATGATTATTTGCCAGTAAATTATACAATGGGTTTGTCATCATCTTTCTGAATTTCTAACTTTCACAGCATGGCCATTGCCTCAACTTATCTGCCTGTTAGTCAACTATGAAATATTTCTCTATTCTGTGACTTCTGGATATGTACAGTGCAGTAGAAAACATAAGTGAAACGTGTCATTTTCTCTCATCTGTCAGCTGGAAATACCAGAAGGACAAATCAAAGAATTAACCTCATACTAGTCATTGACCTCTACTCTAAGTAATCTCAAATTTATTGCTATGGCCAGTTTGGTTTAGTTTTTAGAGCATTGACCTGAGAACCAAAGGGTCACAGGTTCAATTCTTGTGAAGGGCATGTACCTGAGTTGTAGGTTTGATCCCCAACCCTGGTCAGGGTCATGCTGGAGGTAATCAATTGATGTCTCTCTCTCTCTTTCTTTCTCTCTCTATCTCTTCCTCTATCCTTCCCTCCCTCCCTTCCACTCTCTCTAAAAAATCAATGGAAAAATATCCTCAGGTGAGGATTAACAACAACAAAAATCACTTTTCATTAATTAAATTTGCTGAATCTTGGTCTTTTCATAATTTACATTTTGTGTGACCCCTTCAAAACCATTTCCTGATTTCTTAAGATATCACTAAAATATGAGTTCTGAGTAAAGGGAGTTGTAAGTGCACTGGAGCATCAGAAGATCAAGACTTCAAGGAGAGAGGATCTGAGCTTGTCTATTGAAGATCGAGATGATTGTGTAAACTAAGGGGAAAATTGAGGGTGAGATATAAATAATAAAACTAATGAGACTTACCTGACTGAAAATGGAGAATGACTTAGGGAAGATAATGGAAATTAAAAGAGTGTGTCCTTGCCCTGCCGGTGTGGCTCAGTGGTTGAGTGTGCACCCATGCACCAAGAGGTCACTGGTTTCATTCCTGGTTGGAGCACAAGCTTGGGTTACAGCCTCAAGCCCCAGTAGGGGCGCACAGAAGGCAGCTGATCAATGTTTCTCTTCTCTCTCTCTCCCTTTCTTTCTCTCTAAAAATCAATAAAAACATTTAAAATATATATTAAAAGAAAAAATAGTGAATCCATAGTAGGAGTCTTAAATTTAAGGGTGTTGACTTTGAACTTGGTTCCAAAGCAATGAAATAACAGGTTTTAGAGATGTTTATGTCCAAAATTGTCTATAAAATAGATTGGAGATGAAAGACACTGAAATAAAGGTCAGAGACAATTGTTTAGGTTACAGACTTGAAATGATGAAGGCCTTGGGTGGGGTAAAGAATAAATGACATCATGCTTTTCAATGAGCGTAGATTTCAGACACATTTTGTGGAGAAAAAAGTTCTGAGAGGGATTCAAGATGAATGAGGATTTCAAAGCCTTGGGTGCCTAGAAGAATAATGGTCCCATTTAGAAGAGGAACACAAAAGGTCAAAGTAATTGTGTTGAACATCAATTTTTCTGACACATTTTAGTTTCTCATTAAAAACAACAGCATTTAAATGAAATAAATATGGTTGATAAATATAATTAAAATGTACAATTTACCTCTTTCAAATTGAATGTATTTTTAAAAATATTTTGTTAGGCTTCAGTTTAAAATTGGGTAGTTAATAAAATTGGGTAGTTAATTAATACTTTCTCATGTGGATGGGATTTAATATGATATATAATTTTTTAGATGCTAATTATTATTTTGGGGAATATGAAATCAGTAGTTATTCATTGTCTAAATCTCCCCTTTTAGGAACAGTAAGATAATTATTTATTTTACCTTAAGCCTCAGTTCTTGACTGGGGGCATTTGTGCACCCCGGGGACGTCTGGCAATGTCTGGAGACATCTTTGCCTGACTTGACTGCAGGAGTGTACTGGCAGTTAGCAGGTCTAGCCAGGGATGCTGCTAAACATTCTACAAGAGCAGTGCAGCTCCACCGCAGAGAATTACTCAGCTGAAAAAGTCAAGAGTGCCAAGGTTGGGAGACCATGTCTTATAAGGGGAAAGGCATAGTCACGATGTGGTCTCAGCCGGCATGGGAACTCTCAAGGAAGACTGTCATCAGGAGACACCGAAGTACAGGTTACTGAAAGTCCCATCAGGCATCCACCAGAGCAGTGCACTGTGTTACGTAGAGATATTGGTTTCATACTTTCATCTATGGCAAAATGCCTCGACTCTTCTCTTTCTATATATTTTCAATCAAAATGATAAACTTCCAATTTAAAAGTTGATTAAAAATTTTAAAACACATTATAAACATTAACTGTAATATGGGTTATGGTCAAGGGCTCCAGAGTCAGAGTCACCTAACAATTAAAAAAGATTTTCATGACAAAACTAATTTCATAGGATTCTTTTAACTAAATGAGGCAAATTTAGTCAAATGTTTAGTGTTGTTGCTGGAATACAATAAGCTCAAGAAACACCAATTAATATGATTACATACATATAATTTATAATAATGCAAAGTTTGATAATTATATATTTTTAGAGTTTTTATATAACTAAATGACCTGAATTTGGTCTTTGTGGGGATGTCAAAGACAATGTCAAAAAAAAATTGTTAAATAAATAGTTGGTTTTAAGATAAAGTCATGAGCACATTAATTTATTAGTGAAAATTGTCATTCACATTGTTTGATGATAGAAATTAACTTCAGCAAATCTTATTCCTATCAAGATTACTCTTTGTTTCCCAGGTGTAACAGTGAACACCTATTCCTGCCTGGACCCTGGTATACCTGTACATGGCCGTCGCTATGGTCATGATTTCTCCATCGGCTCTACTGTTTCATTTAGCTGTGACCCAGGATACAGGCTAAGCCACGAAGAGCCCCTTCTCTGCGAGAAAAACCACTGGTGGAGTCATCCACTTCCAACCTGTGATGGTAAGAATTTATTCAGTATGCAAAATAAACTAATTTAGAAACAAAATAAATAAACCAACCAACCAACCAACCAACCAACCAACCAACCAATGTAGTCTTTATAAAAGGTGAGACTTGACATGGCTATAAATATTTTGTATCTTTAAATGAAATCTTGAAGTTTGGCAATTTTATGTTAGCAAACCAATAATAAAGAATATTGGTAATCAGCCAAATCTACCCCAGGCATAATGATACTATATACATTTTCTAAATGTGCTGAGAGAAAAATACATTTAAAATTGTAAGTGCACATTATGTGCTGTGACCATTTGACAGAAGAGCACTGACAATGTCGAATAGGTATCAGATGCAAGAACTGATGGAGTAGAGCCTGTACCCCCTGCCTTGGAAGACAACATGTACCAGTTCAAATGCTCCCTAGCTACCCAGCACAATGGCAGTGTACCCAGACTGCCCTGTGGTGGCAAGTTGCTGGTCATGATGAATAGTATACTAGTGGCCTTATTAGTTTTTTGTCTCCATGGAGAATAAGTCAGAAATGCTTCATTTTTCAGAAAAGACAGTGGAAGCGACTGCTTCCTTAAGATTAGGAAGTGCTTTCATACATGCTTTATTAAAAATCACGCAATGTAAACTCTCTGCACTGTTTAGTTCTGGGCTTTAATTTTTATTTATAACACTATTTCCAGTGTCTATACTTATTTTTTTTCCAAGCGGAAGATCACATTGTTCATTTTATGATTAAATTTTCAAGTACTGTTGGTGCCATCATTTTTTAGTAACAGCTTTAGTCCAATTTATTTTTATAATGAGGTTTGAAAAAAATCATCAGCACATCTTTGCTGTATTTGGTACATTGTAATTTATAATAGTCAGTATTTTTGTGATCATAAGTGACAGAAACCCAATTTTAATTGATTTTAAAGCATAAAAGCAGAATTTGTTGTTCAACTACTCAGATCTTAGAAAAGATAAAGGTGGTGTACTTCTTGTAACTAATTATAATCATGAATTCAAACCTTCTCAAGGATCTCTCCATTTTCCTAGGCTTTTTTTTTTTTTTTTGTATATTCACATTTTTTTTTTTCTTTTTATTGAATTTACTGTGGTGATACTGGTTAACAAAATTATACAGGTTTCAGGTGCACAATCCTATAGCACATCATCTGTATACTATATCGTGTGTTCACCACCCCACATCAAGTCTCTGTCCATCACCATAATTTGTTACAACTGCAACTAGGCTTTTTCCATCCTGGAGATTGGCAGTGGAGAATAAACTCTCAGGAAGATGGAAATGTACAGCTTCATATTATCAGAATCAGAGAAGAGTGAGAGTTTTTTCTTGTTCTTCCAATTAGAAAAATCCTAGGAAATGTTTCTGATCCATCCATACCTGGACCAGTTACTATAGTAAGGGAGAAGCATCAACTGGTTGGACTTGTCCAAGTCACATGTCCATCCATCCCTGTATTTCAGACAAATGATAGAGGTCTAAAGATACTATATTTGCCAGGCCCTGGTAAAGTCATATGGTTGGCATGAGTAAATTCACCAAGATAGAAAGGTATGCAGGCAATATTATTAGAAGAACCAGAAGGATAAAAATAATGCCTAAGTGTGTCAACATGCTTAAACTTTATTAATAATAAAAGTGAGTATATGTAATATTCCCAGGAGCAAAATAGACCCTCATCATCTCTTGTCATTATGACTACAATTCCATATTAAATTTGGTGTCCAACGTTTCCACTCCAACCTCCATCCTTCATACTGAAGTTATTTCACGTTATACCTCATGCCAAACATACTTGATGGGTTTATGTTGCCTAAGGATAAAAGTTCAAATTACTAATCATGGAACTCTGATCTTTAACCATGTAGACTTCATCCTTTCTGGTTCTGTCTTTTTTTTTCTTTCTCACTTTCTTATATGTTATCTTTTTTTGACAGGTGAGACCAGATCACTTTAAACCTCTACCTTGATCCGTCCTCTTCTTTTGTATTCCCACTTCATTCTGAAAATAACTGGACAAGGACTGGTGTGTGTGTGTGTGTGTGTGTGTGTGTGTGTGTGTGTGAATGTCTTAGCTTTGTATAAAGCAGAGACTTAATTTTCCAGTGATTTGAACTGAATTCAACCATCTGATCACCCAGTACCCTGATTTGATTAGGCCTTTCCTCCATTCTAAATTTTTTTTTCCCCTCAGAGGCAACTAATCTAAATTTCCTTGGCTAAAGGGAGGAAAAGTGAATAAGCAGGATTTCTTTCCCTAATTCAAAAATGTAACTTCAGTTGGCCTAGATACTTAAGGTACAGCATGTTTCACTCTTACACACACCAGCTCTTTGTGGTGTCTTCACAACTCATAATGAACTGATTTATAAAACAAAGCCGATGAGGGTTGATGATAATAATAATGACTGGTACGTTTTATTGAGGGTTTACCTTGTGCTGGTACTGCCACTGGTGCTTTACATATAGTAACACATTTTATCTTTAAAATAACTTTATGAAGGAGATACTCTTTTGGTCACACTTATGTTACCAGTTCGAGGTTCATCTCCCCAACAAAGGTCAATATTCAAAACATCAGAACATCAAATTTAGAGTAGGGAAAGGTTTATTGATCAAGAAGGTTCCAGCTTGAAAAGATTGCAGGCCTTAGGACTTGCTCAAATCTATCTTAACAGAGCCCAGATTTCAGGTCTCTTTTATGTCCAGGGAAGGGAGAATGGGTGGAGTAAGAGATGTGTGACAACTTCTGACATCTCGACTCCAAAAAGGATCCAAGGAAGAGCATGACACCTCTAAATCTCTTTATTCCCTGCCTTCAGTTCACTGACCCCTGCTTATCTCAGTAAGATCTTGTGGCTCCTGCAAATCTTTGATAGATAGTCATTATTGTGTACATATTTTCCCATCTCTTTGGGAGAGGCACCTCTTGACAAGAGGCTGTTCTCCCAAACACTCAAGCTGCAAGGAGAATTTCTCTAGTAATTAGCATGTGTGTAGTGGGAGCTATTTGCCTGAAGACCCTGGGGAAAATGCAAGCTAGAATTAACTTACACTTAGAGCTGAGAAAACTGAGGCAAATGAAGACTCGGTACCTTGCCCAGTGTCAGTACACCCATGATTCATAGCCAGGATTCAAACTCAGTACCTTGCCCAGTGTCAGTACACCCATGATTCATAGCCAGGATGCAAACTCAGGCAGCCTAGATATAGATCCTGTTCACAGGCCCACTACTACCCTGCCTCCAGCCCACATTCTCCACATTCATAAAGTACTGAAAGTGTTTACATTGAAAGTATAAGTATAGATTTGTTATTCTTCACTCACTGATGCCATATCTTTATTTTAAGAACTTTGTTTAGCCCTTAAGTAGTTAATGGATTCTCTGTACTACTTGGAACATGTGACTTAGAAACAGGACGTTACCCTTTTTGCTGTCAATCATGTCATGTGGAAAGAGCACTTTGAATTGAATTTTATTTTCTGTATACTTATATTTCTGAGTGAAAAATGATTCTTTCTGTTAATGGTGAATGGCATCAAGTGTTACCTGGGGTGTTAAATCTCATTCCTTGAGTTTAGCCAAGAACTCAAATACAAGCAAATGTTTATGTAGATGGAGTCATAAAGTTAGTAGAAATAAGCCAGTTAGGCTGCGTGGTCTCAGGAAACAAGTTACAGAGTCAAAAGAAGGGCCCTTGGATCCTAGGAGAGAGAAGGTAAAGGTATAAGCCTGAGAGAGAAAGCACCAAGGTACTCCAGAGATAGGGGAGCGAGCACTGGGTCCTTCGTCTTAAGGGTTTTTCAAAGCAGAGATTTTAGGGGAGGTCTCAGGGGGGATCACAATAGAATATTCATCAGCTTTTCCAGGTGTGTCCTTTCAGGGTTGTGGTTTCCACTGATTGGTCGGCACCAGAGCAGAGTCATTAGTCAATGTAACTGGTTCGGATGTCAGCCATGGTATGACTTCCTCTGCTTTTGCTGCTTTTCTGAGCCTGGAACTGAAACACAACTGAGGTCTAGATGTTATCTGTGGTTTGACCAAAATTCTGTCTCTGTGGTTAACGGACCCAAGTTTTATTGCTAAGATTATTTGGTGCGGGTCAGAACCTCATTGACCTGAGGACTTAATGGGTAAGGAAGTGGTCACGTAAGGACTTGTATGGAAGTAATATGAGGCTCTTCTCTGGCCTCCTCATTCCTCCTCTAAGGGGGTCCAACCTGTGACTAACAACATGCCAGGGGGGAAAGGTCAGGGGAGGGTCTGACCTGCATGACCAGCAATACAAAATGTCAGGGGGTTTAAACTGCATGACCAGTAATATACTAGGAGAGGAAAGGTCACCATGAGGGTGGTTCCCACCCTATAATACTGATAAAATTATTTGGTGTTCCATAGCCACTGATGGTGGTTGAATGTGGTAGAAGACATTGTAGATTGTGATTTGTTCTTGAATAAATGAACATTGAATCAAATTTTAATTTCCTTGACCTCAGTGTGTGTGTGTGTGTGTGTGTGTGTGTGAGAGTGTGTGTGTATACTTTCCTTATCTTGGAGCATCTTCTTAAAAATATATACCCTTTCAAAAAAAATCTATACCTTTTTGTGCATGATATTTCTCAGAGAAATGAAAAATTTCAGAAGCAGCATTCAAATTTTTAGTTTACTTCCCTGTTTTAAAAGGAATTCTATGAAGAATGACAAATATCCCTTCAGGAATTTAAAAGAAATAATTTTATATAATTAACAATTTGTTTTCTTAAAGCTTAATAAAGGAGGGACTGCCAAACAATTAATTAGTCATGTTTAATTTATGACCTGTTTATGCAAATGTTGCTTATAATTAGAAATGTATAAATATGTACTTCAAATTCAAATGTGGCAAGTTGAGCTACATTCTGTTGGGGCCAGTGTTAATTCTCAGAGGCTATTACCTATCTTGTTCTTCTCTAGTGCTGTTGCAATGGATGAAAAGATTTCCTAGTATTAGAGGAAGTCTTTACATACTCCTAGAAGTGGCTTAAGCTAAGAAAATCAGACTCATTTTATTTCAAGGGAGGAAACATGTTCAGCCTCTGCCTTTCTAATGATGACTGATACTATGATTGCATTTCTTTGTATTTTCAGCATTATGTGGAGGAGATGTTAGAGGGCCTAGTGGAACAATATTATCACCTGGTTACCCAGAATTTTATCCAAATTCTCTGAATTGTACGTGGACTGTTGATGTAACCCATGGAAAAGGTAATTTTCCTCATACAATAATAATTGGGTTATCTACTGAATATTTATTGCATTGTCCTTTAAAATGTCATTTTGTGGTGAGAGAGTGTGAGTGGATGTGAAGGTGGACGACCAAACCCGAGCAGTGCAGAGCCGCGGAACAGAAGATTCCTGTGCTGTGGACGGAGCAGCTGGCTACTGCTTTAAGCAGCCCTTCAGGGGCTTCTCCCTGCCCCACGGGGAGGTCCCAGCATTTTGGAAGATCCCAGGTCTTCCCTGGGAAGAGGCGGGGGGAGCGGCTAGGGCCCAGCAACCTAAGCCCCAAAGTACACCTGGCACCATCGAACCAGTGGACACTCTGTGTCAACACAGACCAGTGCACAGTAGTGGAGCTGTCAAGGTGCCGGTTGCAGAAGCTGTGGACAGCCCAGAGCCCAGCACCATCCCCCACAGTAGCAGCCCAATCAGTCGAGAAATATCCCCAGGCAACAGAAGCACAGACCAGCTGCTGAGACCCATCCCCAAAAACTACAGCAAAGGCTGAGCAGGAGTTGAGTGCTACAGGGCAGCAACACTCCCCAGCCGCCAGCAGCGGGACGTGGGACTCCACAGAGGCCTGTGCAGTCTAGTAGCTCATAAGTGCAGTGGGAAGCCTGCACCCCAGAGGGACTGGTGCCATCCAGCTGCCCAACCATGGGTCCTATGGGGTCCTGGGGGCCTGTTCGACTCAGCAGCCCATAAAAGCGGTGGGAAGCCAGAGCCCTAGAGGGACTGGTGCAATTCAGCTGCCTGCCTGTGGGTCCTATAGGGTGCGGGGGCATCAGAGAGGCCAATGCGACCCAGCAGGGACTGTGCGATCCAGTTACTCATGGGACCTGCGGGGTGTGGGGGCACTAGAGAGGCCTGTGCAACACAGCAGCCCATCAGATAGAGCTGGGTCTCCAAAGGGTCTGTGCGATCCAGTTACCCAGGGGACCTGCAGGGTGCGCGGCACCAGAGAGTCCTGTGCGACCCAGCTGCACACAAGATAGTCTTAGAGGATGTGAAAATGGCGGCGGAGTAAATGGAAGCTATACAGACCATCTCCAAGGACCAAACGGGAATTACAACTAAAATAATGACAAATCTTTGGGAAAAAGCAACAGAAAAGCAGCAGGACAGGACCATATAACCAGGGACACTGGTAGGATCTGCGAAGGCACAAGAGGGTGGCAGGCTGGGAGCCCACAGGCAGCTGCAGTCTTAGCTGTGAGCAGTGCCCTCGGGGTTAAACTCCCAAGTCCACTCCACAGTGCAGAGAGCAGGGACAGAGCACTAAAATAGCCACAGCCACTCACCTGGGGCTCTGGCAGAGGGAGGGCAGACTGGGTTGGAACTCTGTGGGGACACCTGGGATTTGGAGGGTACTCAAGAATTTTTGCTGAGTTGTGGCCAGAAAGGACGGTGACCAGTGTGCTCCTTCCCAGAGCTGTGGGGAAAAGCAGCAACCCCTCCCTTGGAGATTCAGCCTTTCCCAGGTGAGGCAAAGAAATGCAAACTGAGGCTCATTAACTAACAACCAGCCTCTATCCCACCTTCTGGAAATCCTCTTATGCAGAACACCAGGACTACATTCCAAGGCACTGAGTAACTGAGACTACTAGCCTCCAGGCAAAAAGCTAGAAGATAACTGAACCTTTCCTGGGCTTCCAAATCTACTCTGGAAAGTAAGACTTGACATTGGTGTTTAATGTGGGCCCACCCAGGTTCATCAAAACCCAGTAGAGGGAGCGACAAACAGCAGAACGCCAATACCCACAAAAAAAATTTGGCAGGCTCCAAAACCCACAGAGATAGCCAAAATGATGAAACAAAGAAACAAACCCCAAATGAAAGAACAAGAGAACTCTATTAAAGATCAGATAAATAAAATGCAGTTAAGCAAATTATCAGAGGTAGAGTTCAGAGCCATGATCTTGAGGAAGCTCAACAGCATGAGTAAGGACATCAACACCATGAGTAAAGACATAGAAACATTAAAAACCAACAAGTGAAAACAAAGAATGACATAGCAGAAATTAAGAACACACTGGAAGGACTAACCAGCAGAGTAGAGGAAGCTGAGGACCGGATCAGTGAATTGGAAGACAGGGTAGAAAAAATCAACCAATCAGAAAACCAAAAGGAAAAAACAATTAAAAAACTGGAAGATAGCTTAAGAGAACTGTGGGACAACTGGAAACATAATAACATTCCCATCACAGGAGTCCCCACAGAGAAGAAAATGGGCAAGGGTTAGAGAATATATTTGAAGAAATAGTGACAGAAAACTTCCCTAATTTGGTGAAGAGAGAAGGCATTCAAGGTCAAGAAGCACAGAGAGCCCCAAGTAAGAAGAACCCAAACAGGCCCACACCAAGACACATAGTAATCAAAATGCCAAAAATTAAAGACAAAGAGAGAATTCTAAAGGCAGCAAGAGATAAGCAACAGGTTACCTACAAAGGAAACCCTATAAGGCTCTCAGCTGACTTCTCAATAAAAACACTACAGGCAAGAAGGTAGTGGCATGAAGTAATCAAGGTCATGAAAAACAAGGATCTGAATCCAAGACTACCCTATCCAGCAAGGCTATCATTCAAAATAGAAGGTTAAATAAAGAGTTTTCCAGACAAAAAAAGTCCACAGCAATCAGACATGAAGAAAAAATAAAAGTGATCCAAATTGGAAAGGAGGAAGTGAAACTGTCTTTATTCGCAGATGACATGATATCATACAGAGAAAACCCCAAAGACTCCATCAAAAATTTACTAGACTTAATAAATCAATTTGACGAAGTAGCAGGATACAAAATTAACGTCAAGAATGGCATTCTCATACACCAATTATGAAGTCATAGAAAGAGAAACTTAAAAACAATCCCATTTACCATCACAGCAAAAAAAATTAAGATCCCTAGGAATAAACTTAACCAAAGAAATAAAGGACCTATTTGCAGAAAACTGCAGGTCACTGAAAAAAAAATAGAGGAAGATATTAGAAAGTGGAAGCACATACCTTGTTCATGGATTGGAAGAATTAACATCACTAAAATGTCCATACTACCCAAAGCAATCTATAGATTCAATGTAATCCCCATAAAAATACCAATGACATACTTCACAGAACTAGAACAAATACTTTAAAAGTTCATATGGAACCAAAACAGACCTCAAATATCCACAGCAATCTTGAAAAAGAAGAACAAAGTAGGAGGGATCACATTACCAGATTTCAGGTTATACTACAAAGCCACTGTAATCAAAACAGCCTGGTACTGGCACAAGAACAGGCAGATAGATCAATGGAACAGAATAGAGAACCCAGAAATGGACCCAAGACAATATGCTCAATTAATATTTGATAAGGCGGCAAGAGCATACAGTGGAGTAAAGGCAGCCTTTTCAATAAATGGTGTTTGAAAAATTGACAGCTACATGCAAAAAAATTAAACTAGACAATCAACTTACACCATACACAAGAATAACCTCAAAACGGATTAAAGACTTAAATGTGACTCATGAATCCATAAAAATCCTAGAAGAAAATGTAGGCAACAAAATTTCAGACATGATACGCAGCAGAATTTTCACTGATACATCACCTAAGGCAACAGAAACAAAAGAGAAAATGATCACATGGACTACATCAAACTCAAAAGCTTCTGCACAGCAAAAGAAACAACCACCAAAATGGAAAGGCAACTCACTCTATGGGAGACCTTATTTGCCAATGATACATCAGATAAGGGGTTAATTTCCAATATATAGAGTGCTCATACAGCTCAACAAAAGGAATACAAAGAACCCAATTAAAAAATGGGCAGAGGAACTAAATAGACACCTCTCCAAACAGGACATACAAATGGCTAAGAGACATATGAAGAAATGCTCAACATCACTAATCATCAGAGAGATGCAAATTAAAACAACAATGAGGTATCTCCTCCACCTTTCAGAATGGCCACCATCAACAAATCATCAAACAACAAGTGTTGGAAGGATGTGGAGAAAAGGGGACTCTAGTACACTACTGGTGGGAATGCAGACTGGTGCAGCCACTATGGAAAACACTATGGTGTTACCTCAAAAAATTAAAAATTGAACTGCCATTTGACCCAGTGATCCCACTTCTGGGAATATACCCTAAGAAGCCTGAAACACCAATCAGAAAGAATATATGTACTTTCATGTTCATTGAAGCACTATTTACAATAGCTAAAATCTGGAGACAGCCCAAATGTCGATCAGTAGACGAATGGATAAAAAGCAGTGGTACATATACACAATGGAGTACTATGCAGCTGTAAGAAAGAAAGATCTCTTATCCTTTGAGACAACATGGAGGGAACTGGAAAGTGTCATCCTAAGCGAAACAAGCCAAACAGAGAAAGACAAGTATCATATGATCTCACTTATCTGCGGAATATAATGAACATAACAGTCTGAGGAATGGGGTAGTCCCAGAGACATGGAGTGGAGTACAGACAGATAATCTCTAGAAGAGGGGGTGGTGAGGGAGAGATAAACCACAGAACTTATATGCATATATGCATGAGCAATGGACATGGACAACAAAGCTGGGGATAGGGCGGGGAGGGAGGGGGGTATCAGTGGGGGAAAAAGGAAAAACATCTGTAACAAAAATAAATAAATTAATTAATTTAAAAAATAAATAAAATAAATGTCATTTTGCATGAGCAACACAGATCAATGGTAAAATATGCTGAAACAAAATTCAATCTGAGTAACTGCAGCAGAGAATTATATATACTTTTCTATAGTACTATATATGCTCAAATTTTTTTACCAGAATGGTGATAAGAAAGATTTACTTTCTTTCGATGTGTTCAACTAATGTTATTTGGAATTTGCATATCAACAAAATCTTAGACAGAATGGCTTTGTCTCTTGCATAGTGTTAAGAGGTTGATTTCAAAAGTTCAAAAGTTTGTATCAAAAATATGAAGATGGTTTTGTTTCAGGACACAATAACGTGGTTATTACGTAGCAGGAAAGGACTAAAGGAAAAATTAACTAATTCAATACTCCAGGTCTATTCCCCGAGTGGGGGAAGGGCCTGGACAAAGGGCGTTCAGACCATTCCCAGTCTGGCCTAAGTGGCCTGGGAGGTGCCTACCTGCCTTGGGAGGTACATACCTGTCAGTCACACCTGGGAGGAGTCAGTGGCCAGAATAGGTGTGGTCATGGGAAGTGCTCAAACCCTGAATATTTCATCTCCCAGACCAAGGGGCTCTCTCTGGCTCTCTTGCTGCCCAAGCTGGACTGCTTGTGGGGCTCCCCTGCCCTGCATTTCCCCCCTTGGCCTGCAGCTGTGCGGGACCCACACAATGGACTAATGCACTGCATCTGGACTAGTCCTGATCTGGACATAGCTGCACCATGGGGTGGGCACCCTGGACTTTGGCTCTATTTGGGGCCTTGCTAAACCCACAATTGCCCCTCTTCTAGGACTGGACCGAGGGACAGGGGACTTTACAGCCCCAGAAGTGTAATCCACACCAATAGAAACCATCCAGTCCCATGGGGGGTTCCGAATATGCTTATTTCGAATGTGTCCCAAGAGCCGGAATGACCTGGCCCTTTTATCCCTCAGGTGACAGTGTGAAGTGCTGAGCCAATTGTACAGCAAAAAGTACACGCTTATATACACTAGACTATTAAAATGGTTATGATTATTTATTAAAATGTATTACCATATAAATTTATAACCATTCTAGAAATATGTATGTCTCAAATGCTCTATCAGAACTGCAGCTATAATTCACATAATAGAACAGGAGTGTAAAATTGCACTGTGCGTATGGTAGATGTTAACAAATGCTCTTTGAACAAATAAATAAAGGCCCCATGGTACTAAATATGGTTCATTCGTGTAATGAAATCAAAATAGTAAATTAGCAATATAAGTGATCAAGGTGATAACTTAACAATGGGAAAATGGTCATGTTAATATATCAAAACAAAAATGGATGAAAAGTACTTACTAGAAAATCTGCGTGTGCTAATCTTTTAAATAAGAGTCATTTTATTCATTTAAAAAACTACTGAGATGACAGAAAAGTTTCATGAAGAGAGCTCTGGATATTGGTAATGAGTCTATTAATTAGGGGGCATTTACAAAGGTGTATTCAGTTTGTGAAAATTCAATGAGGATTTTTTTAGTCTAATATAGGTTTAGTATAGGTTGAAGTGTGTAGAAAATAAATAGAGAGTCATTGTATTCTTTTAACAAATAGTTTCTCTCTATGCCTGCTTTATATTTCTCTTCTAAAGCAGAGGTAAGCATTTTTTGGAAGTAGAGTGACGTGTTGTTTGAAGGGTTTGAAGAAAGAATCAAAGGAGGCATGTAAAATGCTTACCAGAAAGCCGCACTCTTTTGTAAACGAAGAATATTAATTTTCCTTGATATTTTCAGAAAACTCGGGTTATTTATTTTCAGTCATTGATTTTAAAATTTTATTTCCAGAAGTTTTCAAGACATGACTCACTGTATCTCTTATAAGGGTGCCGATGAAAAATAAAAAGAGAATATTATCCATTGGGGATATTGCACAGCAGTGCTATACAATATTTTCAGAGAAATCAGTGATTGAGAGGGTCCTGATTTTTGTTAGTTTGGCATCCCTGGCTAACTGTTTCGTTAACTCCGTGTTGTACTGATACACTTTGTCAATCCGATCTTCTTGGTTTGTAACAGGCGTGCAGTTCAGCTTTCACACCTTTCATCTGGAAGACCACCATGACTACCTGCTGATCACAGAGAACGGCAGCTTCACGCAGCCCCTGGCTCGCCTGACGGGCTCCGAGCTGCCCTCCACCATCAACGCTGGTCTCTACGGAAACTTCAGGGCTCAGTTGCGCTTCATTTCAGATTTTTCAATATCATATGAAGGATTCAATATTACATTCTCTGGTAAGAACCTGGACAAACAAAAAAGTTATTTCAGTAACAACAACAAAAAAAATTAGAACTTTTTTCCCAAAGAATAAGCATAACTTATATATGATAAAAAGGAGAAAGAAAAATAACAGAAAAGAAGAAAATAGCAAAGAAACGGCTGTCAACAAATTTTAAGGAAAATTTGAAAGACCTTGAAGAAATAAATTTGTTTTCTAAAAAATCTGCTAGACGTACACTGTTACATTTTTTTAACTTGCACTCCTGTAAAATTCCAAAAGACAGCAAAGCTAGCTACACTGTCTAGTGAATTTAAAATGGAAATTCAAATATATATTTTAAAGTTTTAATTAGACTTAAAAATAAAATGTGAATTAAGCCAGTGATATTCTAGTTTTATGTATCTTGAAAAAAAACAAAAAACAGTTTACAGGCCAAGATTCAGATAAATTTAATTTATTTCTTTGGAACTATATGAACAAGAAACAAGTTAATGAGATTATCCTTTTATTTTAGGATAACTTCCTCTATAGCCAACGTTATGATTGGATTACAGAAAACAACATTTATAAGACCAAAGTAAATAAAAAGTGTTCCTATCAGTTGAATGGAATTGTGAGAAAAGCCATTAGTTCTTAATGTAGAAACAATAAATCCTATACCAACTTACTAATATTAAAATTGTAATATTATAAATATATATAAGATCATACAAATGCTAACCTTGTTCTTCAACTATCATTCTAGTATTTGCATAGAAATACTTGTCCTATAAAATTTATGTATTGATAATGAGTAGTAAATGAGCATAAACAGTTTTAAGCTAGAATGTTGAAAATATGCACAAATAAAAAATTTTAAAGCATGTAATAATAGCTCTTCAACATGAAACAGTTCCTCTAGTTCACCATTGCAATGAATAGTAAATTTGTGCTCTGGGAATATTTTTAGATAAGCTACTTCTTTTTAGGGTGGTATATAAAATTTAATGTAACCGTGATTCAATCAGCTCTCTCTCTCATATTCTGAAGAGTATTTAGCTGTTCTTTTTTCATGATATTCATTCATTACTTCTGTAATATCATAATTTCAACATGTGGGAACTTCAATGTTAATAAGCCCTTGCATCTGAAGTCAGGTGTTTTTCAAAATATGGATTAATTGAATTCCTTGCATACAAGAGGCGCAAGACTAAAAACATTAGGTAAAAAGCTTTCAAAAGTGTAAACAATTTCATTCCAATTTTTTGTGTGTTTTTGAAAATATGCATTTATATGCCAGTATTATAAGTCAAAAATCTAAAAATAGATATGTTTCTAATGCAGAAGAAAGAATGGGATGAATAACTACACTTTCAAGTTATGACTCAGGTCACATTTTATCATCTCTATTGAATGTCCCAAATAAAAGCATTCATTAAGTTATTAAATCTTTTACAAAAGAAGAAAAGTATGTGTGCCATTTGTGCATTCCCATAATTGTACACATAGTTACTCTTTAAATGTATGACTAGGACTTGCAAACATCCAGTTTGCAAAGTATAAGAATATATCTTAAAAGTGACTACTATCATTTTCTTTGTCCTCCTCTCCACCTAATTTACAGAATATAACCTCGAACCTTGTGAAGATCCTGGAATTCCTCAATATGGTAACCGAATCGGGTTCAACTTTGGGGTTGGTGACACTCTGACCTTCTCGTGCTCATCAGGTTATCGACTGGAAGGGACATCAGAGATCATCTGTCTTGGTGGTGGCCGACGAGTGTGGAGTGCACCTCTGCCAAGGTGTGTGGGTACGTGGTCAGCTGCTTTCATTTGCTTGTATGTGTAGTCACTGTTCATGGAGTTGCATGGTTATACACCCTTCGTTTTTTATAATCTGTTGATTTCTTCATTTATTTCATATTAGTTATTTCAATTTTTTGTTCCACTTGGCAATCTGGTGTACCTCAATTAACTTCTCAACTGCTCCATACAAGCAACCATGCTTCTGCAAATGATGGGTATAAAGGATTAATAGATAGATAGAAAATAGTTAGATGATAGATAGATAGATAGATAGATAGATAGATAGATAGATAGATAGATGATAGAAAGATAATAGACTAATAGATAGAATCATATTTAGAGACCTTGTAGAAAATTATATTCTTGTATTCTATTGATAGGTGATTTTCTATGACTTCTGACAAAACTTCTCTGAAGTTTTGACAATATTTTATAGCTCAGAATTAACATTCATAAAAATGATTACAAGGAAATAATGTGTCAAATAAATAATAGATAATTTAAATGTGATGAAGGTGTGTATTGACTCAATTTATACATCTGTATAATTAATTAGGATGGCAACTCATTTCATATTATAAGATAAAGAACAGCAATAATTAAAGTATTAATAGTTGAATACCATGACTTCAACATTTAGAAATGAATGTTTTAATTGATGAAAAGAGCAAAAGATTCTATAGAGAAAATGGACTTTTTAAAATGAAAACTTAAGTAATTTTCTATTTAAATTAGGAAATTAGGAGGCATGAGTTTCTTCAAGTCATTAGCCATTCAGTCACTATCAGTACTTATTTTTATGACTGAACAAGATGCAAATGGTAATTTTATAATTATTTCATAAAACTATTAAAACTCTCAAAAGCATATAATTTGCAGTTAGTAAATTTAATTGTGGGTCACGGATCTGTGTAAGTTATAATATGCTACAAAATTAGGCAAATTGATCTGTGGTTCAAGACCTTATTCTTTTCTATGGAGGCCTCAGATGAAAAATGAGAATGAAGAAGAAAATACCTATGTGCCTTATTCAACATATGGTCCACTTCCTGTGGATCTCCAAATCAAGTCAAAAAATCATCTTCCAGGTTAATGTGCTTCTGAAGGCTTTTATAGTGATGATATTGCTTTCACAGCCCCTCTGGGTTATATAACACACAATTTGATATATAGCAAATGAAATTTCTTTTCAAAATCACAGTCTTTTATAGAAATGGCACAAGCAACCTCAGAGGCTTGAAGCAGAGAGTTGATGATCAGTCACACTCTCAAACTTTTTTTCCAAGAAGCTATGCAGGGTGCAGTTCTTTGGGTTTGTTGTAGTGTGTTGCCTTTTTGTTTTTCCCCTGCTGTTGCCAGCTTTTAGACTTTTTCTTTCCATTTTTGTTTGGTGTGAATATTTTCAAAGGCCAGTTAATGTGAACCTTGGGAATAGTTCAAGTGAGGTCTGCCGAGTGTCTGGTTTTATATCCTGTTCATTTGATAGTGAGTTACTTTACTTTTCTAAACTCAATTTTTCTCATCTGCAAAATGGTTACAACAGTAGTACCTGGTGTATTGTCATGAGTTAGTTATGAGGATTAAAAGAGTTTAGCTATGCCAGTCAGACACCTAGTACACTCCCTGGAATATAGGAAGGATTCAGAATTTAGATGATGTTATAACTCTGATTATTTTGAGTATAGTCTGCTATCTATCCAGCCAATCAATCTAGTTTGTAAAAGCAATTGTAGTAGGGGATGAATTACGTTTCACAGAACACTAACATTAGTGAGGTTCTACTAGGGCTCTTTAATATATAGTCATCTCATTGAATCATTTCTACAGTCCTGTTACTGTTATTTCCCTCATTTTTCACCAGAAGAACCTGAACCTTAGAGTTAAATAACTTACCCAAGAGCATCAAGGTTGTACATGGCAGAATCATGATTTGTATACAGTCTTCCTCATTCCAAACCCAACCTTTTTACCCCCATCAGATGATTTTATCTTAAAAGGTCTAGGGAAAGGTGAATCTTGAAGGACTCTCAGTCATACAGAGTCATAACAAGTTAATATTTTTTCTCCAAGTACCAGGCTGTTACACAGGCTGAAAATAAATGATTGCATGTATATTTTTAAGGATTTGTCCATGTTTACAATACATTTTAATAAGTGTATTTATGAACATCTTACTTTGCAAGAAAAGTAACTTCGGGTTACTTTTGTTTTTTTAAAGTATTCTTTTTCTAGAGTAGATTTATTCTTGCCTAAATCTTTAATGGGAAGGATGAAATAAAACCACCCAGAGGGTAAATTTAGAAATAAAAATGTATTGCCATAGAAAAATTTCCCATATTTCAAATGAGCTATGCTTGCTTTTAAGCTTATGAAATTTACATTTAAGTTTATTGACCTTAATGAAGTCCACTATAGGTATACATTTAAGTTAAAAGATGGGGGAAAATACCTCTTCAAATAAAATGACATTTAAAAAATTTCACTTCTCAAATTTTCTTTAAACTTTTCTTTACTACTTTGCCTATGATTTAAAACAAATGTGTTTCTTTCTGCATTTTTGGTTCCATGTGTGTCTTATTTTGTTATCTTTTTAAATCTCATAGTCTTTATTCACATAAAATGCACATGATTTGTAACTATTCATATAAACAGACCCAATTTTAGCTATACTAATTTATTTGAACAGTTTTACTTTTTAGATTCATTGTCCATTTCATTTCATATATCTCTAATACCAATTCTGTATTCCACACTTACTTAAAAACCACTGTTTAGTCCTCAGCTTTGCCAGACAGTTTCTGCGGATAGAATTTGGTGAAACTTATCTTAATTCTGGATGTTAGATGAATAATACATAACATTTTCATTTAAACAATTTCCTGAGTAACCTTTGCAAGTATGTCTTAAGGTAATATTTGAACAAATATTGAAATATAATAATACCATATTATGGTCTTTACAATCCATAAAAAAACTATATCATGTAGTGTCTCGTCCTCCAAAACCCACCAATGCTGTGAAACTAGGTCTAGCATAACTTGATGAAAACACAGTGTCTATGAAAAACTCAAGGTTGCACTTGCTATCACAGTGTCCCGGGTCCCAGGCCTGTGGTGATTTCACAGCGACACACCTCTGTCCTTGACTGGAGGCTTTGAAAAGTTAGGAGGGAATCTGGCCTTAGTTATAGTGGACATCTGACCAGTTATAGTGGTTTCAGAGAACTCCTTATGCTGTCCTCTATTTTATTGGAGGAAACTTCTTCAACCGTGACCCATTTATCCGGGGTTACTTAAGTGCAGGGAAATTTGGAAAGGCAGAAGAATCTTGATAGAGATCAAAGGAGAAATAAAGAATGCACCCACCCACTCAGAAGCAGGGATTCCACCCTCCCAGCACCGTTGCAGGCACACAGTTCATGTTTACACCCCGGCATCTCCTCAGCTGTGTGACCTTTGGGAAGTTGTTCCAATCTCTTTCCTGCCCAGTCTCCTCAAATGTAAAAAGTGAAGAATCACGACCATGATGCAGGATAGCTTATAGCTCTAAGCAGGGAAAGACAAGTGAATCACCCAATGCACTCCTCGGCCCATGACACTTGCTGAACAAACCTTAGTCCCTTTTCCTTGTGCCTGTAACTCCTTCTGCCACCATATTGTCAGTTCTCCTAAGAGCCGTAATGACTGACAGCTGTGAGAAGTGACTTTCACAAACTGGCAGAGAGGAAAGGGAGAAGAGGACAAAGTGTTAGTGTGCTATCAACAGCTACGCACTTCAGACACACAGTCTCATTGACTCCTTAGGGATCAATACAAAAGTTTTACACACACACACAGACATGTCTATTATTATGTTTTACATTTTGGAAACAATAAAAATAATAGGTACAACGATATTTTAATGAAGTTATTTTATATTTATGTGATTGTCCTGGAGAGTCATGTTGCTAAGAAAATGGATCTATGGTCACCTTTTTAAGTAGCAACCAAATGTCCAAAAGCAAAAAAAAAAAAATGAAGGCTGATTACATTAAAAATAAGAAACACTGCCCTATTTTGGGTCAAGAAATAAGTAAGTCCCCAATTTCCATTTGTGAAGTTTACATCACAAAAACCACTGGCCTTCCCATTGTCATGCTTCTAACAAAGAAAAAATAACTATGTCTTCACTCAGCTTCCAAATATAGCAGGAACCAAACCAGGTCATCTTGTATATAAACAAGGACCCAATGGAAGAACATATTTTGGAAAGTAGATTAGTAAATTAAACATTAGTAATAATTTGTTTTTAGGCAAGAGTCCCACTTTTTGAAGTCATTTTAAATACATTTATTCGCTCATCCTCAGAATTCCCCATTTAACACATCTACTTCTGTATCTAATTTTATGTGTCATTAATTTTTTTATCTGACCTCGGACAAGTAACAACATCTTACTTTAATCATAAATCAAATGATAACTCTACAGTGCACATCTAGATTTTTTCTCACTTTTATGACTTTTTAGATGATATGTGCTGATCACTTTTTTGTTATTAGGTTTAAAAATGAATGTTAATAGGGAAAACAAGGTGTAGCACACATGGGAACTCTCTGTACTATCCTTGTAAGCTCTCTGTCAATCTAAAACTAATCTAAGATGAAAGGCTTATTAAATTTTTTTCAATGTGCCTAATAGAAACTAAGTGTCTAGAATGTAAAAAGCCAAAGCACATTTTCTATTTAATAGAACTGCATCAAAGACTGTGAGCTAAAACTCTTTTCATTAATTTGGGGTTTATAAACAAATGGAAATATGAAGAACGTTTTATAATCTAACTGGTCCATTAATAGATAAGCTACTAAACCTTCTTATACTGTAGCTGACAAGTCAACACATGCTATTTTGGAGGTGGAGGCTCTATCTTAGTCACCTTTGTACGTCCTGTGTGTCTGCCATAAACTTTGGCATATCACAGGTGTTCATTCTGAGGGGATGACGTTAATTCACCACGTGATCATCATGAA